CCTACCACTTACAACCTGTTCAGGGTTTACGTCCGGGTGACGAGGAACATAGAATAGCTTTTTCTCGGTGGATTCTTAACTCAATTGAAAACGACGGAAATTTTTTATCACACATATTATGGACCGACGAGTCATGTTTTACTCGTCGAGGTGTGACAAATTTACACAATCAGCATGAGTGGGCACATGAAAACCCGCATGCAATCAGACCACGAAATTTTCAGCACGAATTTAGTGTTAATATTTGGCTCGGCGTTTATAACAATTGTCTTTTCGGCCCTTACATCTTACCTCAACGACTGAATTCTGCGAATTTCTTAGAGTTCTTAGAGACCGCGAGTGCCAACATGTGGGAGGAAATTCCTCTGAATTTGAGAATGCGAGCATGGTTTCAACTTGATGGCTGTCCAGCTCATTTTGGCCAAAATGTCAGGAACTGGTTGAACACCCACTTTCCCGAAAAATGGATTGGCCGCGGGGGTATCGTTGCATGGCCTCCCCGATCCCCTGATCTGACACCCCTAGATTTTTTCCTCTGGGGTTTTATTAAAGAGAGAGTTTATACCACTACTGTGGACACAAGGGATGAACTTATTCGTCGGATTCGGAACGCATGCAGTGAAATCAGAGACAATAACTTAATTCAAATGAAACGTTCTATTCAGCGTCGGTGTCAGTTATATATCGAAGAAAATGGTTTACATTTCGAACATTTACTTTGATGTAATATGGTTTTCGTTATTTATTTTTGTATTTATTTTCATTTAATTAATTAAAAACAATTTTAACCGAATTTTTGAACTACAGATTTAATTTAGTTGTAACACAATGTTTAAAAATTATTATTTGACTTCTAAACAGTATTTTCAGTTTTTCTTGAGAACGCCACCTCCTATCGACTTTGGACAAGAAGGCCTTTTCTGGGTAAAATTGAATGCTTTTTCATATTTTTCGAAAACATTTGCAAAATATCAAATTGGCTATACTTTTTTTATAAAAATATGCATATAGACCCCTCTATCTCCACCACTGGAACTAATATGCTATTTAAATGTGAGACACCCTGTATAATGTCTCAGAATAATCTCTAACTAATTTTGATGGACTTTTGCTGCTGTCTGGGCCAGATGACCATCCGACACCTTGACCATTGGTACCCTTGGATACGTTCTCCTGGAGCCATACCATCAGCTGCCTGTGTTTCATTACTTTTTACATTTAATTTAAAAATTAAATTATTTTCTTTAATTTTCCGGTGCAAAGTTTCCAAAAAATTATATTGAGTAAAGTAGGCGGCTTCACAAACGGCCTTATCTATTGACCAATCGATTTATTTGTAATTTAGGAAAATATTTTTTGCCGAGAAACATTGACTATATCGATCGACCAATGACGGATCACCGTTGACCAATAATTTTTCCAAATAATGCCGATTAAATGAATTTAATGTTGGATAATGTCTTTATAATTTGACGTAAAATATCAAGGCTAATATGAGACATATATTCTTCTTGGAAAATATTTTGCAGTTGTTCGATAAATATATCGTATTGAAGTTTTTTGGCAAAGATTTTTTTCATCAACCCGATGTTACATTTATCGCGCAAAGCTAGCCAATATATTGCACGGTCGGGAATCACGATTTTTTCCAGAATTTTCTCAATTAATTGAAAATTATTGTCAAAAATAGCTTTTTGAAGGAAATCTACGTAAGTTTTTTGTGAAATTTTAACAAGTTCGTATTGCAATTGAATGTCTAAGTCGGCCATCGCGAACAACGGTAGAAAGACGAATGATGTCAACCTTTACTATATCGCGCTATTTATTTCGACTTAGAACTCCATGGGAGTGGTCGAACAAGTCGCTGCTTGTTGGAAATTATATCCCCACGGGATCGTGTCTGTGGTGACGTAATTTATTATGCGCTTGTCATCGTACGGACTGAGAGCCAATTTATTTTGTTTAATTGTATATAAATCGTGATGTTTGGAACGTATAAGTCTCTGCTCTTTAACCAGTGTGTTTTGATTAAATAGGCAATTCGTGAAATCTTCGAAAGTAATGTGTTTTACGGCTGATCGAGTAAGTCCTTTGATACGCATATTTGAGGGTTTTCCCTCGACTTTATACGAGTACATTTTAGCTCTGAGCCCGGCATACTCGGTAACTATTCTCCCACAGCTTTCATCTTTCATAAGACCTAGTACTTTTTTGTTGACGCGAGGCATACCGTACGCATTATCTTCGGGGTAGTCTGATGTATCAAACAGCTGGATGTCTCTCTTCATGCTCTCGTAAATGTCAATGTCCGTGAATTCGTATATTAAACTGTCAGTGTCCGTGTACAATAATTTAGCCTGATTGCCGAAATTTTGTTTAATATAATCGTAATGGAAATCGTAAAGTATAATTTTGGAAAGGTCCAGAATACTAAATCCAACATAAATCGGCTTGTTGAACTTAATTTTGAGTCTGTTCATCTCTACTATAACCATGTCTTCATCGAAAATTGTTAAACTGTGAAAATTTGGTTTCGCGATCAAATTTTTTGCCCCATATCGACCCTCCCATTGTGTGACCAGTTTAACGTCTTTATGTTTTCGCACATTTTCCATGGTTTTACCAAAGACAGAATTATTCATTAATTTATAGAAATTTTTCTCAAATTCGTTAGTCGCCTGTTTCCGTAAATCCGTATTTAAATTTATGTATTTTTGTAACCAAGCCGATTGGTTGAATTTAAGAATTTTGTGTACTTTAGTAATCTTTAATCCCCGCTCAATACACCGTTTCAATTGTCTGTAATGGATAACGTAACCGGTTTTCGAAAAAAGTGTTGTCAGTAATTTTGATTGTTTGCCTCCTGGGGGAACCATTTGTTCCGGGCACAGGGGTAAGTCTTTGTGGAGTTCATGAAGTTCGGGCGGGTACTCAATGTCCACTTCTAAAATATAACCGATTTCAGCATCATCTGCTAAATCGGTTATATTCAAGTTGTAGAATTGATCGACGGGTACCCACTCGAATCCCCCGGTTGGAAGGGGAAGAGACATCGCCGCGCCGTATAAGTTATTTACATCATAGTACATGATGTACTTATCGGGTTCGTCCGGATTGTATGCCTCACCCATGTACTTGTTGTTAGCCTTTGAGTACCGGTTCGACACTTGGGCTACGCCACCTCGGATCCCCTTCTCGATCATCAAAACTTTGTCAATGTCCGTCAGTAATTCTAATGTCTGTTTAGTAATTTTGAGCATGGAATCAAAGGCCAGACGGGGGGAGGTATAATAATGTAAAGGCTCAAGACCGTAAGTTTTTAGACAATTTTCACGGAAATTTTCGAAAATATCAGCCAAAAGTAGAATGTCAGTTTTCAGGTACAAGTCCGAATATTCCCCCAAATTTTGAATATTAAATGTATTCCAGATATTTGTAGCGTGCTCGTAGTCGCTGTCTGAAATAGCTTCGTCAGTCAGTTTACTATAAAAAATCGTCTTTATTCGGTAATGTCGCGTCATTTAATTTTTCCTACGAATTGAGGTAATCGTAAGGAAAAACACCTTTCCTAGTCAAAAGGCGGAAAGTCTCCTTCGAATCACAATGAGATTTAGTGATTCTTTTTTGGCTGTCATCGAGGTAAGAGGCCAATTTTTCAATTTTGTCAGCTATAAACCTGAAAGAATCTATAAATCTCAATTTGATTCTGGTATCCTTTAAGTACGTCTTTTGTGAAGGAAATGTATTTTTCCTTATTTTTTGGTAAAAGTGAAATGTTGCCCTCAAATGAGGTAGCCAAGTGACGTATGATTAAGTGACTGTCGTAAGAAGACAAGCAATGAAAAAAGACCGGTATAACGTGATTGTCCGTATAATTTAAGTTACAAGAATTATGATAAGGTCCCCGGTAGACTTAATTTATATGTGAATGATCCATAATTTTGATATCGAAACTGGTCAACGGTTTTTCACAAATGTGACAAAATTTCGCGTTGTCATGTTCGAATTTTTGCGCGGCAGTCAAAGGCTCCATGGGCTTCGGGTGAAATAGGATGTTATTCACCTCGTCGGCAATATGTTCAAGTTCCCGGATGAACCACTCCTGGCAATCACTACCCCGATACAATTTAAAACGAGAGAGACTATCATTATATGAACATTTAAGATAATAGGCGACACTAAACGCAGTATGTTTCTGTACATTTTGAGTATTTAAATTCAGATCAGTGTTCTCATCACACGATTCCAAAATGCATTCAAAATCTGCATAAACCGCGAACGGTACCCTCTCTTTAAAACGATAATTTTTAAACTGTAAAAATTTCTCTTGCTCACCTGGTAGCTCTACTTTGCAAGTATTTGTTTTATAATTGCATTATATTAAGTTATCATCTAAAAGAAGCTGCTCTGTGAAATGATTAAGACAATGATTGCAAATATGTTGTTGACCGTGGTGTTTAGTTAGATATTTGTTTGAATAATAAGCGCGACATGTTTTTTATCCACGTAAAGTGATAAACAGGTGTCTCATCGTTGCCGTTATCTTGAACCGAATTTGCCGGGACCATCAGTAAATTTATAACTCGTTTGCTATCGCTTTTACTCAAGCATACCGGTAGGACTTCCTTCTTATCAATGCCGTACACGTTAATTGCCAAGTTATTTGAACGCTCTAATTTTGGAATTTGTTTTAAAGTTATGGGAAATTCTGTCATCAAATTTTAATATGTCACGAAATTTGGGATATGACCAAATTCTATCCGTATGTGCTTTAGCTGGATGTAGAGCAAAGACTATGCTCCATAAAACACAATATTCATCATTATTTTTTACGTTAACAACACACTTTTTTTCTTTTAATAAATTCAGGTATCTCAACGTACGTTGACGAGCCCACGGTAATCGGTGAATAATTATTTATATTTACACGTAACCCGATAATTTCCAACAAAGTCCAGCCGCTATTACGATGTTCAAAGTTTTCTAGTTTGTGTAGTATAGGTTGAACAACATTGTCTTCCCACCACTGTTTTATATTTGTACTGCGATCAATAATTTCGTTTTTTGTCCCGAATGATTTTAAATCTACTTCCCCGTCATTTAATTTTACGAAATTTCCTTCAAAAACTAAATTTACTTTAATTAACGAGTCTTTTAATGCATTTTTCGCTTTTATAGAAAAACTACGAAATGATTTTTTTAGAAACTGTTTAGGTTCCTTGAGACTAACGTTCACGATGATTCCCGACCGCACACGACTCTTGAAGCACGATTTCACATCTTGCCACACCAAATTCTTCTTGTTGGGACGCACTACCGAACCTCCGGACACTTTATTTTTAATTTTCAGTTGTTTTAGCTGTTCACGATAATATTTCAGCACCGCCAAATTGTTTTCCAAACGGAATATATTCTCGTTCTTATCAATTTTGTGAATTTTAATTTTGATAGCCTCGTTTAATACGCCGATATTTTTATTTATAATTTTGATATGTCTGTTGATCTCGTCATCGGTCTTCAACAGAGTCAACGATTTTTTGGTCAGTTTAATAATTTTACAGCTGACATCACACACGGTCTCGGCAACTGACATTTTGTATTTCAATAAAAAAAGTTTAACACGACTTTGAAAAGCAAACAAAACAATCACGTGCACTCGAACAAATTTCGAAAGCAAATGAGACCTTTTCACGAGTCCGCAGGCTTTTATAGTCGACGCGTTCGGCTATTTCCGGTTATAACCGGTTATTTCCGGTTATATCCAGTTTTGCATCAAAAGCCTCTGAAACGCCGGACAGATAAAGCCATTGCACAACATTATGCAACATTATGAAATATTTCATCACCCGTTTATCTACAAGTTCCCACGCTAGGACCACAGTTACAGGTTGAAACTTGTTTAAAAGCCAGACAAAATTCCAAGAAAAGGGTAATAAATCATGTATTTGTTTACATAACGGTAATATAAACAACGCTTTGGTCACGTATTTTCCAAGAAATACATCTATATATCAATTTCCGAGAAAAAATTATAGCGCATACCGCCTTTGAAGTTTGTTTACATAACTGCTTAAAAGCTAGACAAAATTCCAAGAAAAAGGTAATAAATCATACATTTTTGTTTACATAACTGTAATAAAAATAACACCTGAGTCGGAAATGGTGATGACGTCATCATTGTTTCCCAAGAACGTGAGTCATGCTAACCGCTACAATAAAAGATAGCTGCTATTATTTTTTTCAATAATTCAAATGTAAAATCCATGTAAAACACCTTTCGGTGGACACCCCGTATATGCATACTCTAATAATAGCATAAACTAACCTTTCACAACTCATATTTATACGTAAATATTCGATTGTCGGTGTAATATTATTTTATGCGATAATAACGATATGATCAAAATTTGTTTATACTATAGTCACGTTCCCATATGAAGCCGGAGAAATATGTTTGTTTACATTAAAAAATAAAACTTTTATGCATCCAAGAGAGTATCAAAGCAAACGCTAAAACTGAACAACTCATATGTGTTGATTCGACACGGGATTTATTTTTTAAATAATATTTTTGTCATTAGTACTTTTAGTCGATTTTTATCTGAAGCCTCCGCTTTGTTTATATTAACATCTTATCTAGTATTAGTCATACACAGCTGTGGTCATATTCCAGGAAAGTTACATCATCATGTTGTTGTTATCTTAAACCCACGCGCCCGCGCTCGTTTCTTATATTTTCTACCTTATAACAAAAAGATTGGTACCAAGAGGCCGTCGCCGCTGCCGCCGCCTCCCCCTGCAGCCCGCAGCCGGCTGCCGGCTGCTGGCTTCCAGCATCGCTGGCCGACTGCGGCCGCATGCTCCCCCCTATGACGCAGGCATCCCGCTGCCTTCCCGTACGCCGGCATTCCGCTGCTACCCCACACGCCGGCACCCCGCTGCCCCCCACCGCTGCCCATGAACGCACCTGTTGCCGCCTCTGACGTCGCACTCCTCGATGCCGACCTCCTGGTCATTGCCTATGACGGGCCCCGGCTTCTTCTTCTGCAATCCAGATTCCCCACCCCCGCACCCCACTGACACTTATTCAGCGTGACCCTGGAGGACAGCATCGCCATGGCTGCTGCTGGAGACCTGGTGCCGGCCGGATGGCGGCAGCCCGGTGGTAGCCTGGGAACGGTCTAGAATGCCCATTGCTTAACTACTAGTATTATCACTAAGTAGACGGTGTAGTGTGTACGATCTTAATAAAAAAAAGAAACGTATTAAGAGAATATCATCGGCTTTTCGATGAATTAAAAAAATATCCAGACCGCTCTTTTGAGTATATGAGGATGGAACGACATATAATTATATAAATTAGTGCTCATTTAAACAAAATTTGGACCAATTTTAATAAAATGCCCGTTGAACCCGAGGAACGATTAGACATTTTTTTAAGAAAACATTTGCTCAATCGATTTCTATGCCAAGTAGAAAATATCGCTTCGATAGCACATACAGGGCGTTTGTTATGGAAATTACCATTTCTAATAAATTATAATTTTTTAATGTCTTGTATAAGTAGCTATACATCTTTATTGTAACCTAGTTGAAATATGTTTGCTTTTACATAATGGAAAGAGTCTGATATTATGTGCTCTTTATTGCAGAAAGAATGAAAATAATAACAATCGTTAATGCAGAAAAGCCGTCGTCGTTCCGTTCTGCAATTTTTATCCTTATTTATCCTTAATCACATCGAACATGGGATAATTTATTATAAAAATAAATAGCGTAAGGTGCAGTAGTAATAATTATGTAGGCATAGGGGGCATTAATAAAATTATAATTTATTAGAAATTGTGACAAACGCTCTTATATTTCTTAATTTTAGATTTGGGATGCGTGGAAATCGATTAAGATATTAAACGTTTTCTTACAAAAAAAATTGATTTTATCATTTTTCACAGTTTTTTCAAACACAGTGAAGGTAAATTCCCTGCAAGTACTACATATTTAAAAAAAAATTGAATCGGTAAATGTAGTCTAAAATACGAGTTTCAAATTGGAACGCAATGTGTACATAAAATATATGAACAGATTTGGAAGTATATTATGCTGATTATTTGTTAACATTTTGTTTGATTCCTTGCAAAATCACAAATAAATGTAAGAAAATAAACATTTGACGCAAGTTAAGGAAATTAATTTTTTGAAAATTACAAGCTACATGCAAAAGTGTGATCAATTTAAGTTTTGTGCAGGACGCATTATTTTTTTGTATCGTTTTATGTAGATGATATCCCATGTCTCTCCTCCCCTGTTTAGTAATTTTGTAATACATCAAATTTTATTTGGATTTCTTTCTCGGTTTGAACAAGGTTTGAAACGAATAAAATTGATATTTCTTTACATACAAGGTACGTACGCAACAAATTATCTTTTATTTTGTAAAGACATATGTCACTCCTTGAAGTATGTTCATTTAAAACTTGCATCGCCCTATTTTACTAAAATCTACATATTGACATCCGCTCAAAAATAAAAAAGTACGAAGAGTAAATATTTCTTTTAAATACAAATGAAATTTTATACATATTCGTCGAAATTCAAAAGTTACCTAATCTCATAACTTATCTAGAATACACCCATTACAATGATTAGGAATTAGGATGGCATTGGTTCCAAGTAGTAGGTATCTCTTCGTTAAATAAAAGATATTAATTGTACCAATACAATGAAATTTATTAAAAGTCGCATAAAGACGCGTGAAATAATAGGAAGGCAGATTTGTCTCCTCGACGCCTCGCCGCGACACACGCATGACTCGTCGCGCCACTATGGACTGCCCAATGCTATTCAATGTATTTAAATCACATAGCGTACCCTAATGCGTTCGTACCCTAATGCGTTTTCTCCTTAACGAGTATCAAAGATACAGGGCGGTCAATGTTTGAATTTTATTTTGAAATTTCTCAATAATTTTGATATGAACAAATTATTATGTTTTTTGACATGACAATTAAGAATTTTTAACTAATTGGTTGCTTAGGGCGTTGATTATGCCCTTTTCCCTTGATAAATAGGGAACAATTTTTTTGCCTTTAGAATTAAAGACATTGTCTGTTGAACATATGAAGGAATGTTCTTCGATTCATAAAAAAGTTACTCCTGTTCGTTTTCGATATCTCCCTTGGTTATCGAGATATTTGCATATTAGGTATGTAAATTTCAATGCATTCCGTTTTTAAACAACTTTTAATCCTTAAATTAAATTAATGCGACTTGACAACTAGTGTATGACCAAATTATTTATAGTTTCCTAAAAAACAACTTAAAAGGAAAGTAAAACATAACCCATTGAAAGAGAAAATAACACACAAAACAGAAAAAATTGAAAATTTAAGAAATTTCTGCTTAGGACTAAAAATTACTAATTACTATAAAAATTGTTCAAATTGAGCACCGCGTTGTCTAATACACTCACAACCACGTCTAATTAGTGATGGGCGTACTCTCCAAATCATTTTAATATTATTTTTTATTTCTTGGCAATGGTGGAAAATCCTTTGCCACAATTCATCTTGACTTGCCACAGAAGTTGCGTAAACACGTCTTTTTTAAATAATCCCAGAAGTAGAAATCCAAAGGATTTAAATCTGGTGATCTAGGCGGCCAGGACACTGGTCGATCTGGATAAACCTTATTTAAGTGTTCCCTAACTCTTAAACTAAAATGAGGTGAGGTACCATTGTGCATAAATCGCATATTAATTAATATTAATCGTAAGGGAAGATCGTTTAATAGATTGGGGGCCATTTAGTCTAGGTGGTAATTCAACAGGTCCTATTAAATGATGTCCAATGCCTGTCCATAAATTGATTTTAAACTGCACTTGATGGAGGGTTTACCTTATATCATGAGGGTTTTAGTCTGCATAAATGTGTAGATTATGCAAGTTGATGGGTCCGTCCCTACGAAAACCTGCTTCATCGGAAAATAGTATTGAGGTGGTAAAATGATGAACTTGGTTAATATTTTCCAAGAGCCATGTGCAACCTTGAACTTTTTGCATATGGTATGGATGAAAATGTTGTTTTTTAATAATATTATTTACGGTGAATTTTGAAATCTGAAACTGTCGCGCTACATTCCTAACAATAACTCTAAGATCCTCAGCGACAGAATCCAAAACGGCTTATTTAACTTCAACTGAACAAATAGTTCTGTGAACTACACTATGTCGGCCCATATTTGGCATAAAACTGCCTTAAATAATAAATGTATTACAATCACAAATTATAAACTTTGGCTATTATTAAAAATAAACTAATAAAGATGTCATACGTTTCCCGTAACTGCTGATCAACGCGTTGAAATGTTTTTGAATTCGGTATTTGTCTATTGGGAAATCTTTCAGTGTATAACCTTTGAGCTCTCAATGCATTACATCGCGCTTATCCATAGATTAAGTGCATATCACAATATTTTGTAAATGTATAGTCAATAACTAGGTATTTTTTAAAATATTACAACAATTTGACACTTTAATTGTTGTTTTTTGGAAAACTAAATAATTTGGTTCATACACTAGTTATTAATCTCATTCGTTTAATTTAAGGATTAAAAGTTGCTTAAAAACGAACAAGAGTAACTTTTTTTATGAAACGAAAGACATTCTTTTATATTTTCAATGCGCAATGTCCGTAATTCTAAAGCCAAAAAAAAATCCCTATTTATTAAGGAATAGGGCATAACTGACGCCCTGTACGGTATTAAAATTAGTTAAAAATTCTTATTTGTCATGTAAAAAAACATAATAGTGCCAATCTTTTTGTTCATACCCTGACAGTTTTCAAAATTATTGAGAAATTCCAAAACAAAATTCAAACATTGAATGTCTTGTATCTTTGAAACCAGCATCATTTGCATATGGCATATTTGGCTCAATCGATTTATTTTGGCCACCATTTACTTTATTTTAAAAACATATTTTATTTTTAGCCCTTGTATTTTTATTTTATTTTAAAGGTGTTAAGCCAATTCAAATAAATTCAAATTTTTTTTCTAAAGATCCTATCAAATGAAAAATAATGTACCTTAATACTGAAAATTTAGGTATGCAAATAATATCTATCTAACCTTAAAGGCAATATTCTGTTACGGAAAACATCTACTCTTCAGGTTACCTGTCCAGATACTAATATTAGATTATATATCGGGTGACCTAAAATTCACGTAAGATTTCAATTTTGCACCATTTATGCGGTAAAATGTTGCCAACTAAAAAAAAACAGCGTGACAGCATATCGGTACCTACTCTATAAGTATTAAAGATTAAAAATATTTTTTTTAGGTTAGAAAGATTACACAAGGTATGCATATATATTTTTAATTTTATTAAAATTTATGTTAAAGATTTCTTTCTTTAACCCTATTTGTTACACAAATTTTAATACCCATAAATGCTTAACTGGAGTGTTTTGAGTTTAGATTTATCAGACCTTAATGGGTTAAACGGATTCGGAGTTTAATTAGGTAATAGTTATTTTTTAAATTAACCTCTTTCCGTGTAAGAGTGTAATTTTATTTCAGTGACAAAATATCCAAAGTGTAGTAAATATGTCACAAAAAATTATTCAAGTAAAGAATTAAGTAGAACCCAACTGGACTACATGCCAAAATAACACTTCTTACAAATAATTTGTTATTGTTTTTTTATTTAAGGGAGCACACACTTTTTTAATATCATATAACCGCATTTTAAAGATCAAGAAAAAAATTTAATCAACAATGCCTTTTTCTCGTAAAATGAACAATAAAAATGTTTTACAGTCCGTTTCTATCAAAGTAGGCCGATTCATACACAATTGAAATTATAATATAAAGAACAAAGGCAGTTTATTCTTGAACGATTTCTATATTTACCGATTTTCTGATCACCCTGTACATGCAAGATGGAAGTTCTCCATGCCAAAAGCATTTTAAAGACAAGCAAAAATTTTAATCAAAATGCTTTTTTGTCGTAAAATGAAAAAAAAAATATTTTCCTTCTTTTCCACTCTAACCGTGGACATACTGTATATGTGCATTTCAGTAACTTTGTTACTTGGAGAAGTGTTTCTTAAATGTCTGTTCTTTATATACTATAAAAGTGGACCCACCCCCGCACTACCGTGGATTGGAGGAATTTTACGGCGAGCGGTCTGTCGCAGGGCCCTCTGCGTTTTCCAGAGGCTGTTGTCTTGTGGATCCAGCGACTCCAGGTGCCTAGCCCAGTTATCCTGGGCCAGTTCATCCAGAGCCGCCTTCACCCGTCTGTTAAGTACGTTTAAGTCATGTCTGTGTCGGGGGAGGCGGGTGCGGGTGGCAAGCCGTTTCGCACGTCGTCTGTCACGTATTAAGTTTTTTATGTCATCGGGGAGGGTGCCCCGGGGGTTTGTCAGTCGGGGGACAATAGTCTCCGTCGTAGTCTGAGTCAGGGCGTTTTTAATGTCAGTCTCAAGGGAGAGGATTGCCGCCTCCAGATCATGGGTGGTTTCGATGACTGGGAGCGCCATGTTTCCTTGCATTACTGTTCGGAAACGCTCCCAGTCAGTGAACCTCCTCGTGAAGGTGCCTTCATATCTCTGTCTTCGCCCCAGATCCAGAAATATTGGATTGTGGGCGGAAGACCCTTCGTATTGGGTGGATATTTGGGCATTTAACGGTATAGATTTTAAGAGGGCAATGTCGATAACGTCGGGGCGTCCTACGGGTCCGTAATGTGTCGGTTCTGTCGGTCCGAGTATAGTCAAGTCGTCGTGTCTGTCTTGGTAATTCAGCAGGACGCGACCTCTTGTGGTCGTCGTCCCGCTGTGCCATATGGGGGACTTCGCGTTGAAGTCCCCGATGGCAATTGTCTGGGGCCAGGAAAGGATTTTGTCTAAGTCATTGTCAAGTAGTGGTAGTCTGGGTGGGTGGTAACAGGACACCACCGCAACGTCTCCATGCCGTAGCGATCTCACCGCTATCGCCACGGCCTCTGTGTTTTGAGTTTGGAGCCGCTGCAGCGGATAGTGGTCGATGCACTTCTTTACTATGAGTGCAACACCACCCCCGTTACGGTTTCTGTCATGTCTGTATATGTCATAGTCAGGGATGGAGGTACGGGATGCCTCGCTGAGGTAGGTCTCCTGGACAGCCATAACGTCTATGTTTAGACGGTTCAAGATGTCCACGAGTTCCGTTTTTTTGGCCCGGAACCCGTCAAGGTTCCAGGACGAAATTCTCAGCGA